TGTTGTTGTTGCTGCTGTTGTTGTTGCTGCTGCTGTTGTTGTTGTTGTTGCTGCTGTTGTTGTTGCTGTTGTTGTTGCTGCTGCTGCTGTTGTTGCTGCTGTTGTTGTTGCTGCTGCTGTTGTTGCTGCTGTTGTTGTTGCTGCTGCTGTTGTTGTTGTTGTTGCTGCTGTTGTTGTTGCTGTTGTTGTTGCTGTGTGAGCAGGGATTCATGCAGCCCAGGTTGACTTCAAGCTCACTACATAGCTGAGGGTGACCTTGAACATCTGAGCTTCCTGCCTCCACCTTCCAAGTGCTGGGGTCAGAAGAGTGCATCACCAAACCTGGTTTATGTGTTGCTGGGAATCGAACCCAGGGCTTCATGCATGCTAAAGACACCCTTAACAATTGAGATGCATCCTTGGTCCCAGATAGGTACTTTATTCCTTCTTTACAAATGAGGAAACTGAGGCTCCCACAGGTGCATCTGACAGCCTCTGAAGCCTTGCTGGTAATTAAAACAGTCAGGACAGACAGCTAGTCAGCTTCCGGGTGAAGGTCAGGCTCCTCTCTCCTCAGCGACCTGCAAATTGGCTTTGACCTTCCTTGGCCTGTCTTTAAGCTTCCTCCCAATTCAACGGGAAAATCACAAAGAAAGCGGTGGGGGGGAGGAGGGGGCTGGCAAGCTGGCAAGCAGGACCAGCAGCTTCTGGCCACGCCCCTGCGGCAGCGCAGGCCCGCAGGGTCTGTTTGCACAGTTGGGTCTGAGTTAGGCACCCACCTCCAGCGAAGCCGCTCGGCCAGGTCCTCTATTGACTCTGGGATTAGCGGCTCCGCTGGAGTTCTTTTCCTCTGAGATGAAAAGAAAGCGGACAGGCTGACAGGTAAACAGGCCACATTGTCCCCAACCTTGTCGGAGGGGGCCCCTCGGTGGACCAGGCCTTTGAGGTTGTGGGCTTCCTGAGCTGGGCAAGTCAGCTTACTCAGAGGGCTGAGGGGCTGGTGCCTGCTGCAGTTTCAGGGACGGAGACCCCGCCTCCCTCCATTTTCTTCCCATGGATCTCTTGTTCATGGACAGCCGGGGGAGCCGGGTCTCAAGGATGGGGAAGCCTGGCACAGTGGCACAGCGTGGGTCACGCTGCATGCCCATAGATGGCAGCCGGAAGAAAAATTAGAAGCCCGCTTTGACCCTGTGCTCTTCAGATGGGGGTCCAGTCAGAACTGAAGGCTTTATTTCTGTATTCAAGGCCCCAGTCGGTAGTGAGGGTCGCTAGGGAGTAACAGCCATCCACCTGTGGTGGTTCTGTTTTATGCATTCTAGAATGTTTGAACAGCTGAACAGAGAGGGCTGATCAAGGCTATGCCTGGTCCCTCCCACGTGCACGTGTATCCCCTTCAAAGGGGACACCACCGGAAGGCCTCACATTTTGAGGGTACCTGAACTCCATCAGCTCTGCCCTACATTGCTGTGTAGTCCCAGGCCACCGCTCATCATCTCTGGACCACAATGTCCTTATCTATGCAACAACAGATGCATGCTCTTGGGGCTGGGAAGGCGGCTCAGTGGGCTAAGTGCTTGTGACTCTTGCATGAGGACCTAAGTTCAGATCCCCGGTACCCACGTAAAAGCCAGCATGTTTCTGCATCCCCAGTCCCACGAGGACAGATTGCTCCAGTTCTCTGGCCATCCAGTCCAGCTAAATCAGAAAGCTCTGGATTCAGTAAGAGACCCTGTCTCAAACAACACAGAGAGCCGTAGAGGAAGACATCTGACATAGACCTCTGGTCTCCACAGGAGCACTCACAGGTGAGTGGTGCACCCCACACACATGCCACACACAAGAAACATAATAAACGAATGAATGAATAGAACAGATATTCTCTAAGGCCGGCCCTTCCCTGTCTGATGGTGGGGACGTCACAGGAGTGTGAGTCTTAATTTCAGAGTACAAGATGGAGGAAGATGGGCCCACACTCAGGCCTATCTCCGACACACATGGGGCCTGCAGATCTATGAGACAGGTGCTCTGGTGCCACTATGCTCCAGGAAAAATCCTGGGCTCCACTGGGACAGGTAGCGACGTTACAGGCCTGAGGTCATACTGATCTGTGCAGTTCCAACCTGTTGCTCACTGGATGCCTATACCCAGCAACTCTGCCTCCCACACTCGGTGTGGCCTTCACTTGACGGTACAGCTTCTGGGAACTAGGATCTTAGGTGAGCATGGCTCAGCTTTTGCTGTTGCTGCTGCCCCGAGGCTTGCCTGCCTCCACTCACTTCCCACATGTCATGCATGATGATGTTTCCTCCTAATTGAAATATTCCTCTATGATTCAAGGGAGGGGGAAAAAAACCCAGAAAATTAAATGGCTCAGGAAGTTCATGAAAATTACAAGATTCAAAAGGCCCCTCCCTGGCTTGGGAAAGCAGTAACAATTGCTGGCAGGAAGAGACTCTCCAACCTGTAGAGCTGCCTAGGAGTTAAACAGAAAGCTCCGAGGACGCTGCTTGTGCGAGCCATCGCCGGGCTGGGGCAAGCTCTTCGGTGACACAGCTGCCTTTGAGTCATCCACTGTCCCTGCTCCACTAGTCTGGACTTGGGTAGACTTGTGCCTTTGGTCTCTCATCGTGTCCTAGCTGCAGTGAATAATAGACCTTTGTTCACCTCTCCCCAGAAAAAGTCACACAACTTGAAAGGACACCCATTTCTTTCCCTTACCACCCAGGTACCAGCCCACTGTCCAACTTCCCAAGGACAGACCCAAAGCCTAGACAAAGCTAGTTAAGCACAAAGTCCCATGGGAGCTCAAGTAAGTCCCCTCCATCAGGCCAAAGCCCCCACCATGATGGCATGATACAGGCTATGCTGGAGAACCAGGCTGAGCACAGAGGCTTCCAGAAGACAGGTGAGCATCTGATACCCTCAAGTTTTCTTTTTTATTTCTTTTTCTTGTGTGCGCACACAAGCATGCATGCCGCAGCATGTCTTTGGAGTTCAAAGGACAATTTGTAGGACCTAGTTCTCCCCTTGTACTATGTGGGTTCTGGGTACCAAACTCAGGTCATCAGGCTTGGTGTAAGACATCTTCACACACTGAAACATCTTGATGACCCCCACCGTGTGTGTGTGTGTGTGTGTGTGTGTGTGTGTGTGTGTGTGTGTGTGTGTGTATGCAGATGCATATACATGCCATGCATTTATGTAGAGGCCAGAGGTTGACATCACATGTCTTCATCAATTACTCTCCACTTTATATTTTGAGACAGGGTCTCTCACACAATCTAGAGCTCACCAACTCACCTAGACTGCCTGGCCAGGGAGCTCCAGGGGTCCTTCTTTCTCTGTCTCTCCACCATGCCTGCTAGGCCACTTTTTAAAAGGCAGTATTTATTATTTATTGTGTGTTTGTGTAAAAATGCATTTGCTTGTTAGTGGGTGTGTGTGTATGCATGTACATGTGCACAATGTATGAAAGTCAGAGAACAGCTTGGAGAAGTCAGTTCTTTCCTGCTGCCACATGGTTCCAGGGATGAAGCTCATGTCATCACACTTATCCACAAGCACCTTTACCCCCTGAGCCATCTTGATTGCCCTGCATCCAAACACGGATCTTCATCCTTGAACAGCAAGCACCTTTGCCGATTGAGCATCTCTGCAGTCCTCCAGGCCCTCCTTTTTTTTTTTTTTTTTCCCATGATGGCCATGCATACAGGCTCTTCCTCCAGTTTCCCACCCTGTCTGGGGCCCAGACTCACCTCAATAGGTAGGCTGCTCTCAAGTCCCCATAAAGACTCTGAGAAGAAGGGGCTGGTACAGCTCAAACATGGCCAAGACTAAAACCAGACCCAAACCCTTCCCTAACGTGGACAGGCAGAGCCCTGCTCCCACTAAGAAACTTCAGTCCTTCCTGAGGATGAGAGCGGCTGGGAGGTAGGAAGGGTTCTGGGAAAGCGGGGGAGGTGAGGGAGGGAGGTGAGGGAGGGAGGAGAGGGAGGAAGGTGAGGGAGGGAGGGGAGGGAGGGAGTGCCCATCCCTAGGTGTGTTCAGGGAATAACAATCTGCTAGAGATGCCAATGGGGATTTCTGCTGAGAGGGAAGTTGAAGTCACTGCTGTCATCTCCATGAAACAAGGCGTGCCCACCTATGCAAACCTCACATGTCCTTGTTATAGAAGTCCAGCCACGCCTCGCTCCATGCCAGCTCCTCTTCTGACATGCAGTGCACACTGACAGGAAGTCGTGGATTCTGGAAGCATCCATGTGGTTCTCTTCCAGCTGTCTCTGGCTTTTATTTAACCTCTGTCCACTGTGTAGGGCAGCCACAGTGCCTGCTCACAGCCAGCAGATGGTCACCCAGAGCAGCCCTCGTGCGTGTGGGTTGCATTATGACATCACTGTGGCTAATGCCATTAAGCTGGGGACTGGAACTGAAATACAGGGATGTTCATCTCTGTTTTTGCAATTGACCCAAACATTTTTGGTATGTATTAAATAAAGTCCCAAGAATCCAGCCCAGCTAAAGCCTCCACCCAGGGCAGCCAAGACCAGCTTAGACTGGAAACCCACAACATACCAGTCCTTGGATCACACCCAACACTGGCTAGTTATCAGAGACAAGAAGTTTGCAGAGTATACATGCTCTGCAGTCTTCATTTCTCAGGAATGATGTCCAGGGGCCAAATAAAACCATTTTACTCTGAAGCAGCTCAACTGGTGTGCAAGAGGGAGGTTCTCCCCTTGAGGCCATCTTGACTTTTGAAACTAGGGAGGAATAAGAACTGGTAAGACCCTCACGACCACCTGCTGTCAACCACTCCTTGCTTCTCGTTTGCTTACTCCATGTGATAAGGTACCAACCTTGCAGAGGAGCCAGAAGACAAGGTTACCATCAGGAGGACTTAGGCAGGCCCAGCCCTATGCCTGGTCCTTAGGGTCTGGTCATAGTCACTCACACTCTTGGGTAGGCTTTGGATCCCTAAGATAAGACCACATCTGGGAAAGAGTTTGACCTCTGTGTCAGGTCACCTGGCTGGCTCCTGGTTCCAGCCCTCACAAAGGTCAGATTATTTGATGTCTCTGTGCCTCCATTTCCATCTCCATGAATGGGCATGAATGAGTCCAGTCTTTGAAGAACTGGGAAGAAAGGATGAGAAGGTGCCCATTAAGGACCCAAAACACAGAAATTCCCTCAGAGCTGCCTGTTACCTTCCCAGAGCTCCATGAAGGACTGAACCTAGAGCAGCTGAGCCCATTGTTTGTCCCCTAGGGGCTGTGGGCATGTGGAGGGACAGGAATCTAAGAACCGCTTTGGTTCATTTTTTAGTTGCTGTAACAAAAGAGCCGAGGCCAGGGACTTTACACACAGGAGAGACAGAAAGTCCAAGATTGAACAACCCCATCTCTCCTCTTGTAAAGATCTTTTGCCAATGTCTCAAGGTGGTGAATGGCATCGTGATGGGTGTGTAGGTGAGGAAAGAGAGGTCACATGATGAGGCAGGAAGTCAGAGGGTATGTGCAATGATGCTCTTTTACAGCACCCCACTTCTGGAAACCGGCATTAACCACCTCCAGTGCTGGTGAGACCCACAACAGATCATCTGACCTACACAACTGTAAATGAATTTGAGTTGTTTTAAACCTCATAAAAGAAAGGTGAAGGGGGAGGGAAGAAAGAAGGGAAGAGAGGTGAGGGAGAAGGAGGAGGTCAAGGGAGAGAAAGGAGAAGAGATGGGAGGGGGCAAAGGTGAGGAGAGGATGATTCTTCTGTCATTGGTTGGAGTATCTATATCCCGAGTCGCATCTTGTAGGCTGATGGTATCAAGTTCTCACAGGTTTTCTGTGTAACTGTCATATCAATTGTTGAACAGGGGGTGTTGAAATCTTTGTTTACAGTCGTGTGTTTCTCTGTCTCTTCAGTGCTAGCAGGTTGTGCTTCACCTGCTTGGATGTTCTGTTTTCTTGTTGGGTCTATATTTAAGGCTGCGGCATGTTCTTGGTTGACTGGCCTTGTCAGTATGTAATGCCCCTCTCTGTCTCTTTGATGTGAAGTCTACTGAATCTAACACAAGCACAGTACTGCTTTCACTCCTGTTTTTGGCAGTTCTAGGCACTGAACCGAGGGGCTTTATGCATGGCAGTAAACACTCTATCACTAAACTACATTCTCAGCCACTTCTTTCATTGATTAATGTTTCTATGATGTCTTTCCTCATCTTTTCCTTTTCAATGTACTTTTGTAATTTTCATCAGGGGAAGTTTTTATGTAGATAGCCTGTAATTCAATAATGTTTGCCAATCTCTGTCTTTTAATTGATGTTTTTAGGTCTTTTATATTTAGTGTACCAATTGATTTTTAGAGCTTCCTTGGTGCCATTTTATTTTTTATTTTTGTCTTCTGCTTCTCATTTATGTATTTTCTTTTACTTTAGTTTATGTGAGTTACTAGCACACTTTAAAAGATCCCTTTTAGATAAATCCACACTAGTTTATCTATAGTGTTTTAGAGTGTATCTTTTTACACAGAAATTTTAGTGATTTCTCCAGATATGAAATTTTATAGACATAAAACCTTATGTCATCATTTTGTCCATTTAAGTGAACACAAAGATTCACCTTATTTTATGTCCTGCTTGTAATTTTCTTGTTTCCTCTATGAACATCATTTGAAATCACATCACCCAGCATTATCATTTTGCTTCTGTTGTCAAGCATAATTTGGAAAACACAAAAAGGAGTATTGCATTTGCCCATATTTTACTCATATGTTATTCCTTCCTTCTCACTGTTCCAGACCCTCCTCTGTTTCTTTCCGTCCATGAAAGTTTCTTTGACATTCTTTCATTGATGGGCTAACAACAAATCCTAGTTTTCCTTTGCCTGGAAGCTGTTTTGATTTACCCCCTTTTCTTTTTATTCTTCTTTTCAATTGTGTGTGTGCAGGGCCTACAGAGATGCCTCAGCAGGTAAGAGCACTTGCTGCTCTTGCAGAAGACCTGAGTTGGGCTCCCAGGATCTATGTCAGGCTTCTCACAACCACCTGTAACTCCAGTTTCAAGGGATCCAACATCCTCTCTGGCCTCTGCAGACACTGCACACAGGTAGTGCTAGACATACACTCAGGCACATACATATACACACAAAATTAAAAAATAAATATTTAATTATGGTGTGTGTGTGGTGTTGGTGTTGTTGAGGACCTGTATATGGTATTGCATATGTTTATATGTTATATATGTGTATGGTATATGCATGTGAATGTGCAAATATGCACACCCATACATGTGTACGTGGAGGCCGGAGGAGACACTTGGTGTCTTCGTCTGTGACTCTTCACCTAATTGCCTTCAGACAAGGTCTCTCACTGAACTAGAACCTCACCGTTCAGCCAGGCTGGCTGGCCAGCCAGTTCTCAGTCCCCTGTCTCCACCCCTCGGAGCTGAGGTTACCCGCAGCACAGCCACACCCATCTTTTCATGTGGGTGCTGAGGTTTTAAAGGCAGGACCTTGTGCTTACCAAGCAAGTGCTCTTACCCCCGAGCCACCTCCCAGCCTCGTGCCTTTCTTCCTGAAAGATACGTTTGTGGGCAGCAGAATTAGGAGTTGACTGCTTTTCTTCTTCAGTACTGGAAATCCTCTGTTGCTTTCTTCTGGCTTTCACCGTCTCTAATTCTGCTGTTACTTCAGTTTGTGTTTCCTCAATTTTCTCTGGCTGCTTTCAAGATTTTTTTCTCAGTCTCTAGTTGACAGAAGTATAATCATAACTTAATTATAATTGGCGTAGATTTCTTTGTGTTTTTTTCCCATTTGGAATTGTCTCAGCTCAGGGTGGTATAACAAAATATCACACTCTAAGTAGCTTAAACAATAAATATTTATTTGTCACAGTTCTGAAGGCTGAGAAGCCCGAGATCAAGGCACCAGCAGACTCCATGTCTGCTGAGGTCTGCTTCGCCATGCTGGAAGGCAGGCTTCTCACTATGCCTTCACAAGTTTCTGGAGGGAGGAAGCACTCAGAACTCTCAGAAGGATGCCGATCCCAGGCCCGAAGATGGCATAGTCATGAAGAGCTTGCTGCTCTTTCAGAGGACCAGAGTTCAGTTCCCAGCACCCACAACTGCCTGAAACTCCAGCTCCAGAGAACCAGTGGCATCTACTGACCTCCACGGGGACCCCCAAACAGGGTCCCCCAAACAGGGACCCCCAAGCAGGTGTGTGTGCACACAAAGAAACACCCGTACACATAAATAAATACTGTAAAAGGTGGGTGCTGATCTCATTTGGGGGTTCCACCCTACACTCTTCATATCTCTCTGTGACCCACCCCCAAATGTACCTACCTCCTGACCATTGCATTAGGGGGTTGGGCTTCAAGATAGGAATGTGGGGGGCGACAGAGACATTCAGTCCATAGGATGGACCCTCATCTTAGTCCTAAGAGCTCATGTTTCTTGCCAAACATGGGCAGTTTTGAATCATTATTTTTCTTTCTGTATTTTTTCTTTTTCGTGTGTGTGTGTGTGTGTGTGTGTGTGTGTGTGTGTGTGTGTGTGTGTGCTGTTTTCACATGTGTGGGGGTACACATGTGTACCAGTGCATGAGAAGGCCCAAGGTTGATGTTAGAGATCATCCCCTCTCATTCTTCCTATTTGTTGAGGCAGGATCTCTCTCTCTCTCTTTCTCTCTGTCTCTCTCTGCTTATCTCTCTGTCTCTGTCTCTGTCTCTCTCTGTGTGTGTGTCTTTCTGTCTCTGTCTCTGTCTCTGTCTCTGTCTCTGTCTCTGTCTCTGTCTCTCTCTCTCTCTCTCTCTCTCTCTCTCT